ATTCGTCCCAGACAGCCCACATGTCCCATGGGACACCATGGGACGGCCCTAGCTGTCCCATGGGACGTCCCACGTGTCCCATGGGACACTTGTGGGACGTCCCAGGGCTGTCCCATGGGACATCGTGGGACACGTGGGACGTCCCAGAGGAAGGAAGTCCAGTAGAACACAATTCAGACACGCTGAGAGAGGGGTTCCTCAAGACGCATGGCCCATTGCACGAGAGACTGGGTTACACATTGATAGTAGATGTTTAGGAGGTATTTTCGGTATTACAGGGGGGGGGTTCTATCCCGGTTCTATAACAGAACCTCGGGGATAAAAGCGAGCAACGGCAGCAGAACAATATTACTGCTGCTTGCTGTGAAGCGGAGCGCGGGGCTGCTGCTTGGTACAGGTCGTTGGGTACTGCTGTAGGGAAGAGCAGCTGGGGTGGTTGGCAGTTGAGGTAGCCATTGCACGAGAGACTGGGTTACACATTGATAGTAGATGTTTAGGAGGTAGTTTCGGTAATACAGGGGGGGGGTTCTATAACAGAACCTCCAGTGCATTTTCTGTCTCCTCATTGGTTGGAGATGCGCGTGCGCGCGCTCCCTCGGTGAACCTCTTTTTGGTTCTATTCACAAAGCTCTGCTGGGGTGGGGAAATCCCGGCGCTGTAGCTACATTTCTCCGCACGTCGCGCACGAGGTGCGCGTGCTGTGAAGGACGGACAGGGCGGCCGTGCTACCTTATCGACACGTAGCCTCTAGAGGGAGGCATTGCATAGCGTGGCTTCCACCGTTGGCCACCACAGCAGCGGTCAGTCGTTGATGCAAGGAGGTGAGCGGCATGCTGCCGAGCACGCGCTCTGCTGGCGGGGCGCATCATGATGCTGATCATGATGCAGGCGCGGATGACTGCGTGGGTGGTGCGGCTGGTCGCCAGCACAAGCCGTTGTCGCACCCCTTGCCCGCAGCCCCATGCGCGAACACTGGAGAGAGTTCCAAATTCTTGCAGCAAAACCCTCCTCGAGAACGGACAGCGACCTCTTCCGGTAGCGAGCCGTTGGGCCATTCCCATCTGTCGGTCAGCGGCGCGCCTGGCGGTGTAGCCACCGTCGCGAACACATTTCCTTGCGACACTCCTGTGGCTATCGGAGAGGCTCGCAGAAGTGTGAGTGGACGTGAATCACCACCAGCGAAACGCCACGCGTCGCAAAGCCCATCATCCCGGGGGAGTTTGGGACGAGATGCAAGAAATTCATGCGAGGGCTTCGGGGCCGGTGAACGTCGCGGCAGGGTGCTGCACTCGTTCCTTGCTACAGCTGTGCAGATGTCCCAAGCATCGGAGGCCTTGGGGGCGCCAGGGGAGCTATCAGGTGATGGTTTCGAATTCGCGGAGCCACATACGCCCCTTTCGTCTGCCATTGGGGTACATACGGGACCGGGATACTGCTCTACCGGTACGCACGGGCCGAGTGCACCACTACTACATTCGGAGGTAGACGGAGTAGCGCAGCTAAACTATGAACGCTCACGCCAACTTGGAGCAATGTTGCCACCATGGCAGCGCCTAGCCAACGAAGTGCCGTGGCGACCGCAGCAGCAGCAGCAACAGCTGTCAGCCGCCGGTTGCTTTGGAGGGGTATGGCCGCCGCCCCGGCCGCCGCAACGGCTTTTGATGGCGCAGCAGGGCGCAGCTGGCGGGGCGGTGTTACAGCCGCAGCGGGATAGACGGGTACGTCAGCCACTTCCGCCGCTGCCGTTGCCTGTGCAGCAGAGGACGGCAGGTGGCATCGTCGGTGACGCCCTGAACGGCTATGGTTTACATCTGGTTTTGCAGCATGGCGCACCGCATGGCTCAGGGACAGGCGGTCATGAGGAGGAAGACGAGGGGGGGGGGGGGGAGGCAAAGGATGCCTCCAGCGGAAAGCCCGTCCCTGTCATCGTGCCTGCTAATGCTACGTTGGCGAATCGCAGCTGGTGCTGTTCGAAAAGCAAGACAGTTACTTCGATTTGTCGTGCGTG